AAAATATCTTCATCAATTTATCCATAGGCATATCATCTTAATGAATTTGTCTTAGCTAGCAATTCCCATTTCTAAACCATACTTTGTACCTAATCATATTTTCAGTCCCGAACATCAATGAAACATTCTTCTTACTCATTAAATAAAATGTCATCCTTCAGCAGACTGTTTTTGCTAAAATGTTAATTTGCTTCAGATAAATAATGAATATTAATTTTTAGCTTTATAGTTTTCTTTTAGTCTGGGAATGTGTCTTTTGAATTTCATGCCAGTCCAGTTTCATCTTGATCAAAAGTATTGCGACTGCAATACCTTCATTTCCTGATTAGTTCATTGGGACTCTATATCTTATTGAAAAGCTCTTTTACCCAGAACTCACTTCAAGTAGCGCTTACATAAAAGAAAAGTCATGATTACAAGATCTCTTATTTCAATCACCTGTTCTTCACAAAACATAATACTATATTCTTGTTTAACCTTTTAAAATATGTCCTTCATTTCAGTCCTCCCCAACCCTTTCTCACCCAAGGCACACTACAGATGTTACAGATAGACAGATATAGATAGACAGACAGACAGACAGATATATATACATAGATAGATAGATATAGGAGTAACAGAGTGCATATTATTATTATTATTATTTTATTATTTATATAGCACCAACAAATTCCGTAGCGCTGTACAATGGGTGGACTAACAGACACATAATTGAGATCAGACCACTGGACGTACAGGAACAGAAGGGGTTGAGGGCCCTGCTCGATGAGCTTACATGCTAGAGGGAGTGGAGTATAGTGACACAAAGGGTTCAAGAAGGGGAATTACATAATTTGTTAGAGAAGGGTTTATTGAGTGCTTGGCAGGTCATTTTTGACAGTTGCAGGAAAGGAGTCATGGGGTGGGGGATGAGAAACCTGCTGACAGTTTAATTGATACGCTTTAATGAAGAAGTGAGTTTTCAAAGATTTTTTTAAAGGAGTGGAGGCTGGGTGAAAGTCTGATTGAGGAGGGAAGGGAGTTCCACAGAATAGGTGCAGCCCTGGAGAAGTCTTAAAGGCAAGCATCAGAGGTGGGGATCCGGGCAGAGGATAGGCGTAGGTCTTGGGCTGAGCGCAGGAGTCTCGACGGGACATACTTGTGTATGAGGGAGGATAGGTATGTTGGAGCAGCATTATGTAGGGATTTGTAAGCAAGCGCCAGAATTTTGAATTGGGCCCTATATCTAATGGAAGCCAATGCAGGGATTGACAGAGCGTGAAGGCGTGGGAGGTGCGACCGGACAGGAAAATAAGCCTCGCAGCCGCATTCATTCTAGATTGCAGCGGTGCAAGATGGGAACATGTAAGACCGGTGAGAAGGGGATTGCAGTAGTCAAGGCGAGAGAGAACAACAGCATGAACCAGTACCTTAGCCGCGTCTGGCATTAGATATGCGCGCTATGTTCTTGAGTTGGAAGCGACAGGATTTGGCTATCGATTGGACATGGGGAGTAAAAGAGAGATCAGAATCAAAAAGAACCCCTAGGCAGCGAGCCTGCGAGGTAGAGGTGACAGTAGCGCCGTTGACTTGGATGGAGACAGACACAGGAGTAGCAGCACTTGAGGGAGGAAAAACTAGAAGTTCTGTTTTGGACAGGTTGAGTTTAAGGAAGTGAGCAGCCATCCAGTTGGAAATAGTAGAGAGGCAGTCAGAAACACGAGTCAAGGTGGGCGGAGAGAGATCAGGGGAGGACAGGTAGATTTGCGTGTCATCTGCATATAAATGATATTGGAAGCCAAAGGAGCTGATGAGTTTACCAAGGGAGGCAGCATAGATAGAGAACAGTAGGGGGCCGAGGACAGAACCTTGGGGGATGCCGACAGACAGGGGTTGGGGAGAAGAGGGAGAGCCAGAGAAAGAAACATTGAAAGAGCGCTGGGAGAGGTAGGAGGAGCACCAGGAGAGAGCAGTATCCCATAGACCAAAGTTACGGAGAATGTGAAGAAGCTGTTGATGATCAATAGTGTCAAAGGTGGCAGAAAGATCAAGGAGGATTAGGATAGAGTATTGGCCGCGAGATTTAGCAGCAATTAAATCGTTGGATACTTTGGTCCCAGCAGTTTTGACAGAGTGACCAGCACGGAATCCAGACTGAAAGGGGTCAAGTAGAGAGTAGGATTCGAGAAAGTCTGTCAATCTGGCATACACAAGTGTCTCGAAGATCTTGGAGGCAAATGGCAGTAGCGAGATAGGGCGGTAGTTGGATGGGGAGTTGGGATCAAGGTTGGGCTTTTTCAGAATTGGGGTTACGGTTGCATGTTTGAAGGGTGAGGGAAATGTGCCAGAGGAAAGGGAGAGATTAAAAATGTTAGCAAGAGGAAGAGCAAGAGAGGGAGACAAAGTGCGGATGAGATGCGATGGAATAGGATCAAGGGAGCAGGTGGTAGGGCGGGAGGACAGGAGCAGAGCAGAAACCTCTTGTGCTGTAGCAGGTGCAAATGAGCATAGGAGTGTGGTTGGGTGATGTGTTGATAGGGGTAGGAGAGAGATTAGAGATCTCCTTCCTGATTGTAGAGATCTTCTCAGTGAAATGAGATGCAAAGTTTGTGGCGGACAAGGTGGTGGAAGGAGGGGGAGTCACAGGGCGAAGAAGAGCATCAAAAGTGTGAAACAGGTGTTTGGGTTGATGGGACAGTGTGCTTATGAGGGTGTTGGAGTAGTTTACTTTTGCAGAGGAAAGAGCCATGCTGTAGGAGCGCAGCATAAATTTATAGTGGACAAAGTCAGATGCAAAGTTAGACTTTCTCCAGCAGCGTTCAGCAGTTCTGGAACATTTTTGGAGGTAACGGGTCAGCTTGGTGTGCCAGGGTTGTAGTTGGGGGCGCTTTCTTCGTTTAACTGTAGGAGGTGCCATGATGTCAAATTGAGAGGAGAGAGTGGAGTTGTAGAGTGAGGTTGCAGAGTTAGGTCAGTTGAGATTTGAGATGGGTAAAAGGAGTGTTTGGAGTTTGGTGGAGAAGTGCTGGAGATCAAGGGAGTTGAGGTTTCTGCGAGGTTGGAGAGTTAATGGTGGTGAAATTTTGGTATGGGGTATGCAGATGTTAAATGTTAGCAGATGGTGGTCAGACAAAGGAAATGGAACAGTGGCGAGATCAGAGGTGGTACAGAGATTGGTGAAGATGAGGTCAAGAGTGTTTCCTGCAGTGTGTGTTGCTGAGGAAGAAATCTGTGTGAGTCCAAAGGTGTAGGTTACAGAGAGCAGACAAGAGGCATCAGGGCAGTTGAGCTTGTTGATAGGGATATTGAAGTCCCCAAGTATGAGAGAGGGAGTGCTAGAGGAAAGAAAGTGGGGTATCCAGGAGGAAAAGTGTTCAATAAATAGTTTAGGGTGACCGGGGGGGGGGGGCCATAGATGATGGCAATTCTTAAAGGAGTGGGCTTAAAAAGGCGTACAGTGTGAACTTCAAAGGAAGTAAAGGATAGGGCAGGGGCAGGGAGGATAGGTTGAAAGGTACATTGAGGGGAGAGAAGGATACCTACACCACCTCCTTTACAGTCGAGTCTAGGAGTATGGGAGAACTGTAGACCACCGAAACATAAAGAAGCAGGAGTAGCAGTATCGGATGGGGACAGCCAGGTCTCAGTGAGTGCCAGTATTGTGAGTGAGTTAGAGATGATGAGGTCATGTATTTCTGTAGATTTGATATTACTACAAATGGAGCGAGCGTTCCAGAGTGCACACTGAATTTTGGTACAAGAGGATAAACTGCAGGGTATTTGGAAGAGGTTTGCATGGTTTCTGGTTATTTTAGTGTGAGCAGATGAGGTGAGGGGCCCTGGGTTGGGAGAGACGTCACCAGCTGCCAGAAATAGGAGGAGAGATAGTGACAGGAGGTGTGAATGGGTTTTATATGGGCGGCGACTAGGGTGAGATTGGGTTAGAGCAGGAGAGAGAGAATAGAGAAATGAGTGCAGGGCTTGAGATGAGAGAAGAGGGGAGTGTAGCAAAGAAGGATTAATGTAAATGTGAGTGTGTTGAGGGAAGTGGATGGAAGGGGATATTTTGATCCTGAGGGAGACGAGAGAGAAGAAGAGGAGGAGAATATAGAGGATTGCTCTGATGGGTAGGTAATTAGAGGAAAGAAGAATGAGCAGAAGTAAGGAGAAGGACTGAGTGTTAGGGGTTAAGAAGGTGGATTGTGCTCATTACTGGTAGTGTTTGCAGCTGCTATTTGGAATTATCTAAAGTTGTGTGTGGGATTCTATCTATAAATGTAGTAAGAAACTTGGGGTGGGGTGGTGAGGGGAGGGGTGGCCGGGAATCTGAGCACCGTTGAGGTTTGCTAGAAGTGGTCTTTTAAAACTCAGACTGTGGAAGACAGAGATGATAGGGTCAAAACAGGACTGCAATAAAAGCTATGGAATAGAGATGCACAGAGGAGGTGAGGACTGGTCAAGTAAGACAATAAAATAAGGGGGGGGGAGCAGAAATAACAGAGAAAGTCTTTAGAGATAAGCAGAATGTTGAATAACATTTAAGTTAACAAACCAGTGATGAGCAGGGCAGGGAACAACTAGCTTTAGCATGCAGGACAAGACAAACTGCAGAATATATGTATGTATGATCAAACACGCATACACACACATAGAAACATATATATATATATATATATATATATATATATACACACACACACACACACATATATATATTATGTATACATACACACATACATATATACACACATATATATAAAAGAACAAGCACATCCAGTTAAGATACAATGACAAATAAATGGTGGTTAGAGATGCATAGTTTAAAAATATGCAAGTGGTTAAAATTCTATACAATTATAGTGTCCAGTATTAAGGGTAGATAGTTTCCTCCATAGTCTACC